TGAGGAGGAGAGGAAGAAACAGTCATTCCCTGAGGCAGGCTCGTCTCCCGCTCACTGTCCTCATTCAGTTTTGCCTCATTTTGCCTATAAACTTCTGTTTCAAGTGAAGTCTTCTCATGTGTGTGCGTGTGTGTGTTTGTTTAGGTGTGTGTGTTGTGCATTCACATATGTACAGTGCAGGAAGCTCAGGAAACAATTAGGACCATGCTGGTTGTACACCTGGACAGCCCCATGTGCTTACACACACAACACAAATAATCTCATCACACACACGTATACATTGCACACACTCTGCTCTGCTCTTTTATATGCTTATTACAATTTCACACTATGACCTTCTTCTTTTCCAGCCTGAATAAATCTTTCTGCTTCTGAACTAACACTCTTTCTTCTTCTGTCCTTTTCCCCTACACCTCGTCTTCCCAACCATTCTATTTTTCCTTGTCATTTCCTCGTTTCCTCTCCTCCTCCTCTCCGTCCTTTCCTACAATAGAAGTATCGGTGTCAAGAAGAAGAAGGGGCATCACCAGGTGCCCCAAAACTCCACCATCACCCCTGCGTTCTGCATCATATGGGAGTAGCCAGCGAACTGAGGGATGGAGGCACCCTTGGGAGGGACGGAGGCACCCTTGGGAGGAACGGAGGGACACTTGGGAGGGACGGAGGGACACTTGGGAGGGACGGAGGGACCCTAGGAAGGGACGGAGGGACACTTGGGAGGGACGGAGGGACCCTAGGAAGGGACGGAGGCACCCTGGGAAGGGACGGAGGGACACTTGGGAGGGAAGGAGGGACCCTAGGAAGGGACAGTGGGACCCTGGACAGGGGGGGAGGGACCCTAGGTAGAGACGGAGGCACATTGGGGAGGGGCGGAGGCACCCTGGGTAGGAAGGGAAGGGAAGGGAGAGAGTCAAGGGAAGGGGGGACCTGGAGAAGGGAGGCAGGGTGTGCTGGCACCATGGAGAGAGAAAGGGAGCAATCTCTGGGGAGGGACGGGTCTCTGGGTCGCCACGGTGACCTGCGTGGCGCGGAGTTGGTTCAGGTGGCGGAGCGGCAACTGTCTCAGATTCAACATGTTCACGGATACGTGACTCACACACACATCACGCCTGCTCAGGTAACTAAGGTTCTTTCATCAGTTTGCCTAACACATGCACACACACACTCACTCACACACACACACACACACACACACACACACACATTATACTGACACTGTCAATCAGTTCCCCATCACGACAGCTGTCTACCTGCCTGTGTGTGTTCACATGCATGGCTCAGGGCTCACCCTTACATCACGTTCACTCGAGAGATTATGTCTGTCTGTCAATCCCTGCCTCAGAATAACTTGCTGTATTTTGACAAATGCTGTATGCATGGGGCCAGATGTTTTTGTTGTTCTATCAAACCTTTTTTCAGATTTGATTTACTTTTTGAGCTCATGATTTTTAAAGTAAATTTGAACATAATTGAGGCACAGCATCAATCGATCATAGTTGAATTGACAAATAATTGTTCTGCTTTGTTTATATAACTTAATATTTAAATCAACCTTTAGCAGTCCCATAATAATATATGAAGTTGTAACTTTCTTTTAGATTTGCTGTAGTCTCTTTAAATCAATTTGGGAGTGAGCGTTGTTCTATTCCTAACCCTGATGCTTTACTACCAAATGTTTTTGCCAGATATGTTTTGAGGACATGTACTAGTGGCCTTAAGCTACTGTATGTTTGATGGGATCGCACAGTTAACAGGACTTAAATGAGTGCTTACATTCCACTAGAAAAATATGATATACTTAATGATGTTACTGCCCCATAAACACTTCATTTGTTGTTGTTCAAGTCACTGTTGACTATGGCTATAAATGCTTAACGTTGGTATTTTATGTTTTTTATAAGATTGGAAAGGATACATTGATGCATTCAGTTAGAATATTTCCCAGAAATATTCATGAACAATAACATTGGTCTAACATGTTGATGAAAAATGCCACTGCCAAGTATGCAGATTCGACTCCCAAGGTCACATAAATGTTCAGGCAATGTCTCCCCCTCTATCTCCCCCTCTATCTCCCCCTTTCATCACTGTATCTCTGATAAAGGCACTCTCTGCCCCATAAAATATCTTTGAAAAAAAGTAATTGCCGGCATTCCCCTAAAAATCATCGTCAATTTCAAAGGAATTTACTACATTGTTTTTGATTACATTTCATTCCTCTTTAAATTGACTTTAAAGTGACTACAGTTCTCTGGAACCCTTGTGCTTTTGAAACTTCCTTTTGAACACCGCTGGAGTGGATAGACTGCAAAAATAAAAGCTTAAATTAAGCCTGTTTGTCATAGTCTCTGAAAAGATGAGTCGTTAGAGATAACAGACTTTTTGCCATCAGCGGTGATATGCTTCATGTCTATTATGATTAGTTGTAAATTATTTAAAATTGGTCTAGTGTCACATCTAATACCGTCAGTTTCTATTTTGGGTTTTTTGTCTCTGGTCAAGGTGGCAGGGGCAGCTCCTAAAATGCAGACAGAAGTAAGAAGACCTGTTTTATTATGGCTTTTTTTGTATGTACTTAGAAGTCAAGGATACTGGCCTAAATTTCCTTCCATGCTCAGAGCCTTTCTTTGTACCAGGAGAATACTTTCGTGGAGCTGTGCGCACAGGGATTTAGTCAAATCCTCGTCCCATTTTTTAGTAAAGAGGCCCATTACTATCTCTGTTCTGCACTCGGTCTGTCTGTCTGGCACCCTCTCTCTTTGTCTCTTTCTTTTCCCTCTCTATCTCTCTCTCACACACACTCATAATAGCGCAGCGTAGCCTGGTAATCTTTTTATTTTGGTTGATTGGGATGTATCTGTCTGCAGATTAGTGCTTACATCACTCTGACCACACACACACTCTCTCTCTCTTTCACGTGCACACAGTTGTTTCCCCGACACTCATTCCAAAACATGATAACACAAACATCATCATGTTTCATCATGTGTTCATCTTTTGTTGACTTTTCTAATCACTCTTTTAGGGACTGTATGTTTTCGTATTGTCTCGTAAATCACAAATATGGTCTTTTCTAACTTAGGGAATTTACAAAAGCCTGCCCGTATTCCACCAAAATTGCATATGCAAATTGAGAATATTACATAATCTGCTACCACATTGAATGAAATGGTAGTAGGGAGGTGATCAAAGGGACATTAACTCAGTTGTTTTTCTTGGGGGTTCTCTGTCACTGTTAGGAATAAACAGTTTTTAAAGCCGTAAGCCACAGAAGGCTTTACAGTTATTTTAAAACACCTGACATACATTATACTGTAAGATTTTAAATGTCCCAGGATTCCTCTGCTTCTTAATTTCCTGTCATTTTCATCGTCTTGGCTCTTTTCTTTCATTTCCTCCGTTTTTTCTTTCTATCATCCCCCACTGATATGTCATCCTTTGTACATTCTGGCATGAGTGATTATTAGTAAGTGTATTATTTTATTATATAAACACTTATGTGTCAGTAGTAGTAGTAGTAGAGTGTCTATGTGTGTGTGCATATATTTGGGGTGAGTGGTGTGTCACTTCCAAGTCATGTCTCGTCATGTCACTTCCTAGTCATGTCCCAAGTCTGACTCAGCCCAAAGTTTGTGACAGAAGTGAAGATGTTGTCCCTGTGGTGAAGAAAATGTGGGTGTGTAGCTCCACCTTGTGGTTGGACACCACCTTCCTGTCACTTTAATCCATAAACATTTCACTGCTGAGGGGGCATGTAGAGTTCATATTGGTTGTGATATTGATCGATGCAATGATTTGTTTAACCATCCATGCATCAATATAGCTTTCCATTTGTGATCTCTGTTTACTGTACAGCAACCATGCACAGTAATCGTTTGGTGTCCCTCAGCTAAAGAGTGTTGAGCTGTAGTCATTGTAGGATTACATCATCCTCATTCCCTTAGTAGCACAGAGGCTCCACAACCTCATCCACACCGCCGTATCATCATCACTGCTTTTCACAAAGCTTAAAAGTTGCTCATCACCTGTATGACAGTGTGAAATCGGTGGTGAATGTATGTGTAGCTTTCGGGGTATTCGGGTGTTCAGGTTATTTTGGGAACTCCTCATAGAAAAATTGTGTGTGTGTGTGTGTGTGTGTGTGTGTGGTGTGTGTGTGTGTGTGTGTGTGTGGTGTTGTGTGTGTGTGTGTGTGTGTGTGTGTGTGTGTGTGTGTGTGTGTGGTGTGTGTGTGTGTGTGTGTGTGTGTGTGTGTGTGTGTGTGTGTGTGTGTGTGTGTGTGGTGTGTGTGTGTGGTGTGTGTGTGTGTGTGTGTGTGTGTGTGTGTGTGTGTGTGTGTGTGTGTGTGTGTGTGTGCGCGTGTAAGAAGCAGGGAACATGCCCATGGGGAGAACAAGGTGGCAGGTCCATCTGTCATACAGAAGCAAGCCAGATCCAGGGGTCACACACACACACACACACACACACACACACACACACACACACACATACACACATAGAGTTGTAAGTTAATGTGTGGCTGTTAAAGGTAGTTTACCCAACTTTCTGACCTGTGTTCTGTAATGGAAACATCTATTTTAATGTTCCCACATTTCGGCAATTGTTATTCCTCATGCATACTGTATAAGGCAGTCGCTTAATTCTACTATAAGAAGGAAAGAACAAGTAATAACAGATGCACTAAGACTACCCTTACATTGCCCATTCATTTCTCCAAACACACTGCAGTATCTGATTTCATCTGAAAATGATGTATTTTTTTACCTATTAAAGCAGAAATGAACTAGGCTTACAACTTCACTGTTTCTCTAGGTAACGCTTTGTAAGGCAGTTCCTTGTAAATATAGTATTATCACAATAATGGTTGAAATTTATAATCTATCCTTGACTACCAGTGACATGAAGGACCTACATATTAGCCGTGAGAGAGTGAGAGAGTGAGAGATAGAGAGTGTGTATGTGTGTGTTGCACCATGCTGAGATCTGTCTGTGCATCGTAGGTAGAATCACCCGAGGGTCCGTATGATGACGAGGGGTGGCGTCACCCAGAGGGGGAGAGGCTGAATGAAGTCCCAGCCCCGCCTTTCTCTTCCCTCTATTCTCATAGCCACGCCCACTACCAGGTAACCCCGCCTCTGAGCCCGTCGCATGCCTCCATAGCTTGGTTCTTTTTATGTTCATTTTCAATTGTCCCTCACGTTTTAAGTTGAGGTTATATATGAGCATGCAGTCCATTTTCTATCCTTTTAATCTCTGATTTTCTGTGACAGTTGTGCAGAATCTGTGTGAATCTGTATGAATTATTGTTGCATTGGTTGAAATTCAGAGACACCATGCTTTCACAACCTCATAGAAACTCGTCTCTTACAAAGTGTTTCATGTAGCATTTCAATATCATTAAATAGTTATTAGGAACATCTCTACTCTGCAAATGGATAAAGTGCCAGATGGTGCAAGGAATACAATCTATATGAACAAATAGCTTTCAACATGTTTATATTCCTATAAATGCAAAGGCAGGCAGAAGAGAGTGACACGTTCGATATGTTCTTTATATGTGAGACAAGGTATATCTGCTCACTCTTTGTTTTTATCTACATTTTTAATGTACTTCATCAAATCTGTCGACACTTATCTCCTGAAGCCAGAACCAAAAGTCAGCTGAAATGTACCTACTGTTTTTTTCTCTGAACCATGTGAACACAGAGCATGCTAAAACTGTGGTTTTTCATGTGTGTGTCTTTTTGTACTGCGCATGTGGTTTGTGATTGTGTCTTCAAAAAATCTAAAAGCATCACAAATATTTGTTTTGGCTCCGATTTTTTCTTTACTTTTTACCCACCACCTTGTTTGTTTCCCATAATGTATGTACATTCTGCTGCTTTACACATTGTTAAGTACTTTACCCTCTTATGTAGCTTGTGTCTTCAGTATTTATAGTAAAGAAAGTAATGAGAGTGGAAAAATAACATAGACAGTTTCCTCTTCCTCTCCCCTGGTAATTGCAGCGTAGAAACTGCAGGAGGCAGTAGAGGCAGGGAAATACCCCCCATCAAATCAAGATCTGACTTGGCTTAATAAATCAAACTATTTAATGGCGAGCATTTAACTGAGTTATTGAATATTGCTGGTAAAGAGGCTCAAAAAACTAATGCCAGATTAATACCTGTATTGACATTTTGGAAAGTCTACTGTATTTACTGAGGAGGAAATGCAGTCGACACTGCGGCAGTATAATTGACTTTCCTTAAATAACTCCACCAACAATCCACTGCAGAGATTGAATGAGGAGCAACAGTAAAAATGTCGCTTTCTGTCTTTTTATAACACAGTAGAGTTTATATAACAGTAAGTATCACGTAGGCAACACAGAAACCTTAATGGCTCTTGGTCATTAGGCTAATGCACATAATAAGGAAAGGAAGGAAAGAAACAGAGGGTGGGGGAGCGGCAAGAGATGGGATAAAGAGAGAATTACAGGCAGACAGACACAGATTTGTTGCTCGATGTTAATCAACCTGTCAATCATCCCTCCTCAATTCATCTATGTCCCGTCCTGCTGATACAGTCGTTGAAATAAGGACTCAGTCAGACCTTTACTCAGCACTTACTGTAATGTCTAACAGTCGTGTAGTGACTGCCTCCGAATGGAAAGCCATACGGATGAATAGACAAATCAATTGCTGTACATGTGCATATAATAAATGCTTATTTGAACAATTTCCTTTTAATGTGATTAGCCTTAGGAAAAGGCACTGACAGGATTATTTGTCCACCTTTATCTGGCTTGTCTTTGGACTTCAATCCATTGTGTGGATCACCAATTTTCTTTTATGTTTAATAAAACAAGCCTGATTTCAAAAGCTACCTCCACCTACCTGCATGCATTCATGTGGTCATGCATTCACTTTATTCATTACACACACACACACACACACACACACACACACACACACACACACACACACACACACACACACACACACACACACACACACACACACACACACACACAACCTCACAAACTCTTGACATCCATTGCAAATTTGAACCTCTTAGGGGGAACATGTGGCCGTCAAGGGGGTGGGAAATCCTTTGGGACTGACCGAGAGACAGAGTAAGCTATAGAGCTGCAGACAACAGCATGGAACTAGCTATAGCTGACACTTGGGGACAGTGTAGCTTTTAGTTATTGAAAGCTTGAATACGCATCCTTTCATATGTAGTCGCCCTTACGGTCTACAGTAGTTTTGCCTTTATGTCCGCTATCTTTTATGTTCATCTATGTTAAAACCTGCAATCTCCGAAAGGTAGTTGCCTATTTATTTACACATTGAACAAATTACGAAGTTACATTTTCTCTCATTTAGAGTTATGTTTCTGGCTCCCTGGTGGATGTGAGTTCTATATTCACTTTTCTTTAATCAGTGTTTTATAATGGTTTTATCTTTAGCTGCAAAATGCTATACAATGTTCCCCAGCTAGTTGCTACCTTTGTGTGTATACAGTTTGGTGGTTAGCTGGTACAGTAGTGTGCTGCCTACTTAAGCCATATGACAATATGTTAGAGGTGAAAGTAAACACACTAATGTTTCTGCTAAAACAGCTCAAACTCACTAAAAAGATCTGTGGAGCTGCATAATCACTAAAAACACCCCTTTCATGTGATGTGAAGTAATTTGGTCTGCTGCTATTATTATTATATTGTGCAAAGAAAAAACTGAGCTGCGTAGCTAAGAAAAAAACCCAGCCCACCCCCAGACACTGAGAGTCTGAATATTTGATCCGGCCTGTTGGGATTGAGCCGGTGCTTTGCTCGCTCTGCAGTGCTTTATGTTTACCCCTCCCCATTATTTACCAGGGCAGCTTGACATATCTTTTCAAAATGGTCCTTACCAGAATCTGAAAGGGATCTAATGGAAGGGCTGGGGGAGAGCCAACATGGTTAGGAACCAGTGGAGGAGACCGCAGTATAGATCTGCATGCCGTCGTGTTTACAGTGCTTCTAGCTGCACCAGCGTTTCTGTATTGTTGTTGACAACAAGAAGCCAATATCTATTACAAGTCTATTGAGAGCCATGTTAAAATTAAAGGCAAGCTAGGACAACATGACAGGGCAAGAAATAAAATAACAAAATATGTGTTGATTTCAGTTGGCCACTGAAAAGTGATTGATTTGTACTACTCCTTAACTACAAATGTTTTATTACATATAAACAGTCTCTGCTAAAACCAGTAGGAATCAAGCCTTTAGTCTGTATTACGGTTAAACCTACATAACGAAATAGCTACTGGGTTACAGGGTCAGACTGTCTGGTGCACGCTGAGTTGATATCTGAAATAGGTTGCGGGTCAATCTGTGGGGGGAGTAGTAAATCATTTGTTTAAAAAAAAACAAACACAGCATTTGTATGCTAGGCTATCCATCATTACCTGTAGATGATGGAAGGGCAAAGTTGGCTCTCTCAGCAGGCGGACATTAAACATGCATGATGTGTGCTTTTATTTAATTGGTCCTGAAATATTAATAGAGCCGACATTCACTGGCTGGCATTTGACTAGAGAGATACAGAGCTAGAGAGACAGAAGGTAAAAGTGATGGAGAGAGGTACAGGAAGGCAGGGTTAATAGTGATGTAGCCAGTGACTCAGTGAATTGTTGCTGTGTCAGCCTGTCATGTCAGTGTATTGTGTTTTGAGTCATGGTGGCTGCAGACACACTGGTTGTAGAGAATGACTGTCAGAGGCTAATGATATGGTTTCAGTTGTAATTTATCCTAGCTCCGGTGGTAGCTCCTTACTGTGTGTTCACACTGCAGGCCACTTGATTGATGTCTTAATCTTTCCTTACTGATTGTGGGCGAGAAGCTCAGGTTGCTTTCGTGCTGTGTGGTGCAACTTAAGTTATTACACTGCATATGGTGGTTTAGAGAGAGTCTGTTAAGTGAGAAGCATTTTTCCATTGCCTGGAAATAAACAACTCAATGCTTTTGTTCAGCCATGTCAGCAGAAGGACTTTAGGGATGAAACTGTCAGTCAGTCCTTCACTTTGGTCCAGACCATATTTAAAACCTTGTGTTTTTGGTGAAATGTCTCAATAACTGTTGGATGGATTATAATAACATTTCAGACGTTCATGTCCCCCTGAGGATGAACAGTTATGCTGTTGATTGCAAACTCCTATATTCTTACTTAGTGCCATAATCAGGTTCATTTAAATGTTTTCCAATTTGTGGTTTATGACCACAGACTGTAGACGTCATCCACTGGTTTGGAGATTACATTTTTGATCCTTGAGTTTGTCATTTTGGCTGATGACATCTTGTTGTTGTCATGATGTGGAAGGGGGGAGCTGAAAACAACAATGAGTTGACATTATAAAAAACCAGAGTTACAAATAACTTAGAAAGGGTTAAAGTTATAATATGAGCTAAACCAACTTGATGGTTACCTGTCAATCAAAAGTTAGCCCACTCTAAAGCATTCCCTGCTTTATTGTCTATTTTACTCAATTCTGAAGACAACATTTACAAAATGAACATCATGCTTTAATGACGAATAGTTGACACTAGTTATTGACGCCATAAACTTGACAGGAAGATGATTTTCAGTCACGGTCCACTTTTTCTCAGCCAGCAGGTTTGTTTTTAGTCCCCACAGGAGCCAGGGTTTCCATGTTGTTCAGTCGCTTTCTATTGGTGTGAACATAGGATCAACATGACCATTTAGTTGCTACTTTATGAATTAGGACTGTTAGTATATGTTGTCTTGTAGCAGCTTGGTCGGTCTTCAACTATTTTATATTCAGACACAGAAGCCTCTTGCAAAGCCTGACTACGGGGACACTCTGAGAATCCATCTCACCCACTCTATTTCTCTGTCATATATGAGTCAGCTTTCTTCACATTGGATTCCTCTAAAAACAACACAAGAAATCTCAGTGACATACATTCAGCTTTTAGCAAACATCACATTAGTCAGCCAGCACCAGGTGTATTCCAGGGCTCAGAAAGCTGTTGCTATAGATACAGTTCCCAAGGAAACACAGGAAGAAGCACTTACTGGGGTCCTGCTCCACCTGTGGCTAATCTTCAGGGAGGCTAACCTAGCTGTGTAGGCTAGCT